CGCGCGCACCCATGCCCCCAAGAGTGGATCGGCCGTGTAAGGTCGAGGGAAGCGGGTGTGTCCATGGCGACTCTTGTAGTGGACCAACTTTTCATACTGATGGACCCATTCACCCTGGTCCGCCGGAACCACACGTTGATAATTATTATTTGGAAATGTTTGCTGTGGGCCACTGCGCGTGGATGCTTTCGTGGGCGCCTTCTTTTTGGCATTCTTGCTGTTGTCTGGGGCTGGTCTGATCGGGCAAACCTTGGCGGCTCGGGTGGTTGGTTTGGGTGCCTTTGTGACAGTCCTTTTCTTGGCGACAGGAATCTTCTTTTTGGTAGGTCTGTTCTTGGCCACGGCCGCGGTAGCCGTCCGAGCACCGTCCTTTTTGACAGCACATGCCCGCGTGTTGCGAGTCTTGGTGGTAGTGGTGGCAACAACAGGGACAACCTGGGGCCTCTTGAACTGCGCCTTTTCGCCCTTGGATTGAGGATAGAGATTGTTATAGTCCTTGCATCTCCATACAAAGCCAATGGCATTGAGTCGGGCCTTGCGTTCCTCCGTCAAAAACTTGGCATTGTGGCCGTCACGCTGCCGAGATACCCATTTGCCAAGTGAGGGATCTTGCTTCCAGCGGACGGGAACCAGGCCTGATGGGTGGATGGATAGATAGATAGATTGATTGATAGATAATGGATAATGGTAGAGATAAGATAAGATACACAAGTGGTTAATCATGGTGTCATACGTCTGAGGGTATCATTAGAGGTTCCGTTTTTTACTTACAATCTCCAAATTTTTTGGAATAGGATTCCAGTTTGGCAAACATGATATCCCAACGTTTCTGGAACTTATCCGATTGAGACATGTTAGCATCTTCGTCCACGTCAAGAGTAACCAGAGCAGAAGCTTTGGCAGCAGAAGCCTTCCTGGTCTTGGTCATTGTTCCGGTCAGATTTTGGGGTAGCAAGCTGTCGTCCACGATAAGAAAATAGATCAATCAATGTAATAAGCTCAACACAGAGGGATAGATAATAATAGTCCACAATCAGATACACAACAGTCTTCCTTGATAGTCTGCGATAAGATTCCGTAGTAGTAGCTTTCTCTCTTTCTTCTTGTTATCCAAAAGATATCTCTCCGTTGCTTGGTTTTATGGCGGTTCGGAACAACACCACGCAATACTAGAAAAAAAGAGAGTCGGAACTTGCTTTTGGTTGGCTTGATTTTGCGCTCGTTCAAGGAAAGCCACAGAAACCAAAAGATACGAGAACTCGACAGCATTGGTTGGCATTGGTTTCGGTTCGTTGGCGGGCTGCCTGAGGAACGTGGATCGCAGCTGCTGCTTAGAGTCATGGTCATCTTTCTCAGAAACTGGTCGTATCGTTCTAACAATTTAGATCTCACTACGACACGCCCTTTCCTTCTCTATGACCAAAAGCTCTAACCTTAGTGATGAAACTACAAGCGGAACACTCACAAAGCAAAGCTTTTAAAAGCGGAACAAGATCCAGAAGAAAGCATGGCTCGGAACATCACTCCGCAAGCCACCGTTGCCCTCCACATTCAACATTAGGGATGAACACACATGCTCAATACAGTTTAGTTGGACTAGCTAGTTACGTACTGGGACTTTTTGATTCTGGACTCACGGTGCGGCAAAACAGGTCGGCATTCCTAGCAAAATTCTCAAATCACATGTTGCTCGTCGCTGGGGAGTATGGGCAAGACGGCCTGAGGAAAACGAATATGATATATTTAAATATATATATCAAAGGGAGATCTCAGAATTGCGGTAATCGCATGAAAACCAACCTGGAGACTCGACTCGACTCGACTCGGGAGTTTTGTCCTCAAACGATGCGATGAGTACTAACTTAGCAATGGGCTGATCAATCGCATGATTTGTAAGCTCTGCTGGCTATGCACCGAAAGTGATGAATCGAATCGAATCGAATCTGTCCTGGGCAGCTCTTGGCTCGGAAAAACATCTGAACCGATCTGTGAGTCTGTGAGGGAGTGAGGCAGCGATGGAGTGAGGGACCAAGATGGCACCTCATTGATTCATTCATATTCATACCAAGCTACCCCGCACATTGGTCTGATTCGATTCATCATTCCCAAGCCTTGCCTGCATCAACCTTGGGTTCAACATTCTAGCCTGTGTCGAATCCGCAAAAGTTGCACAGGTTGTTTCCGAAAAGTTTTAAGGTTCTGCAAAAACTAGGATGTGATGAGCCAGTAACGGAACCACCTGTGTGAATGGCAAACTAGTAGTATGAATTTGGTGTAAAGAAGCGGCGTGCCGGTACCAGTACATGTATGTGGCTAGCTAGAGTGGACTAAGGGTTTGAATTGGGAATGGACTCCAATACTTCAATCTCCTGTGTGGCACCAGCAACAAGTCTGCCTGAGTGCCTGAGTATCCATCAGCCATCACTTACTACTTGGAGAAAGCTAGATATAAGAAAAAGGGTCCAAAGCTTTAGTAGCCTTCACTTTTTGCTATGAAAATGCCCAAGCAGCTACCGGTACTACCGGTACCGGTAGCTAGAGCCAGATCTCATGCTTCTCGAGCTGCGTTAGACCGTCTAGCCATCCATCAGCCATGGCGATTGGAGGAAGGCAGGAAAAGAAGGGCGAAAGCTTTTACTAGTAGGCGCCTTCTTTGGGAGCCTTCATTTTTGGACAAAAATGCTCAAGCAGATACGTAGCCAGAGCTCACGCTTCTCGAACTGCTTTTCATACGATCTTCTTGACATCTTGCAGAACTTTCTTCACACTTTTTAGTAAGCCTACTACATCCGTCGAAGTGACACAACTAAAAGAAGTGGTCGCTTGCTTGCTTTGACATGACATCTGAAAGTAAGTTATCATACCCATCTCATTTTCTTGCAATAGTCTACTTCATCGACTTGTTGAACACAATTTGATAACGACTCTTTTGCAAACTTGGACACGCTGACAATGACGAACTATGATACTTTTGCGACCGGTGACTCTCCAGCCACTGCCAAAGCCAAGGCGGAACAGAAGGGTCCCATGTTGGGCACTGTTTGGTGGGTGTTGACCATTCTTGTGTTTTCCTTGACAGTTGGATTGGATAAAGCGTACAATGCTCTCCATTTGGTGTTTGGATTGCGCGCCTTGGTCGCTATGCTTGGCTATTTGATTATGCAAGTGGGCTTGTGGCAAGCGGAATTCAAGTGGGATGAAGAAGGTTCCGCTGCATACTTGGACGCGGCCAAGAAGGATAAGGGTCTAACGCCTGAAGAGCTGGAAGCCATGGACATGGGTGACGATGTTGTCATCCCTGATGACCAGAAGCAAGCCGCCTTCCCCACCCCATGGGGATTTCTCATTGGCTGGTGGGTTTGGGGGTTGAGCTATATCTTCCCCATTGATGGGACAGCCAGCATTAAACCTACTCCCTATGGAATCATTGCCTGCGTCGTGTGCATCTATGTCAGTTTTGTTGCCAGTGTTCCCATGGCGGATGCTGTCATGCATCGAGATCCCAAGAAAAAGATGATGCTCTCCTTGCAGTTTCTGATGGGTTGGATTACCTTGGGAGTCATGTCTTCATTGGATGCGGGCGAACAGCTGGGGTCCTTCAGCAATGGCTCGGTCTGGGTCCTTTGTATGATGGGTCCCTTCACTATCATTTTGTCCCAAAAGATCCTCTTTGCAAGTCGCAAGATGGGCACACTTTGGGAAGATTCTGGAAAACCAAACTTTCATCCCATTGTCTACAACATGGGCGGCCCTTTGTTTGTTTGGGGTTGGTTCATGTTCTTTTTGGGCGTCTGTGCCATTCCCACCCTTGTATCCATGGATGATGATATCTATGCCCAGCCCGATTCCGGTCCCAAAATCCTTCCACTCTTTCTCAACTGGCGCACCTTGTTTGCCTTTGCCGGTGGATGCGCCATGGTTCCGGTGGTGCGTTTCCTCGACTATTCGCACGATGAAGACGGGCCCTGGTGTGGCGCCAACTCGGAAGGCAAGGTCTTTTCCAAATGGTGGTTGGGAACCGACGGAACATACTTTGGTCTCTTTTTGGAATCGCCTTGGCCCTTTGTCATTGCCTGGTGTGTCTTTGGATTTTCAAGCTTCTGGACATTTGACAATCGCATTGATCCCGACACATGGGCCATTCTCATGTTGGTGAATTGCTTCCTCCAGGCGGTCGACGCTGGAATCCTCATTCAACAGAATCTTTACGCTGGTAACATGAAAGGCAAAACCATGTTCTCGGTACCCTTTGTGATTTTGTTCCTCCTGCTGGCCATCAACATTGGACAGCATTGGGGCTGGCGCGCCCTGGCCCTCTCGCTGCCCGGAGCCGTGCTCATTGTTCTCGGGCAAAAGACAGTGTTTGGAGCTCGGAAACGTGGAGATTACACCATGCAAAATGACGGAAAAGCCAACCCGTACGACAAGGTCTTTGTCTACACCTGGGGCGAAGTGTTCTTCATGATTGGATGGATCAGTATCAGTTGGGGAGCTTCCATGCCCTAGCTACCGTATCAAATGAAATATATGTATGTGTATGTGTGTGTATATGTGTTTGGGAATCAAGAAGAAAGGCGAAGAGGTCATTTGTTTGCTTGCAATTTAGCACGCAAGGAATTAATTGTGATGGAATTGTGCAATGTGTCGATGATTTATACTGTAAATTGCACGTAACTTTATGCGTCGATCTACTAGCTAGAGTAGGTTGAACTCGCTTGATACCATGGTGCTAGCTAGCAAGTAGGTGATTGGAAGAGGTTGAGCGGTTGTATCAACGCCCACTTCAGCCTTGTCCCTGTTTTAGTGTAGTTGCCCGTCGTTCGGTTATCACCTCCAATCAACACCTCCCATCCAAACCCTCAGGGCCCTCAAATGCATGGTTTGGAGGCTCTGCTGGCTAATTTAAAGTGCGAAGGCAAACTACGACGATTTGTCAAACTCCGGCCCCATCAGAACAAAGATCTCAAAAAGGATTGGAACAACTGATGGATGAAGATGGCACCTCATTGATTCATTGATAGGAAGCTAAAAAGATTGGTCTGATCCCAAGCCTCGTGCATCAACCTTGTCTTCAACTAATCTAGCCTGCTGTGGATTTTGAGATAAGCTTGCAGCATCATGCCCACCTCTTCTGCTTCCTCAGTACCTCCGTCTCCCTTTTTCAAACCCAGACTTGCTAATACTACCGCCACGGTCCAAACCCCGGGTGGAACGGTTCACCAACAGCCAGACCAAGATAAGGAACACAGGTCCACTCGTCTCGGTTGCGCTTGCAATCTCATCAATGCCATTGTTGGTAGTGGCATCGTGGGAATCCCCTATGCCCTCCAACAATCTGGCTTTATCGCTGGGATTGGTCTCATTGTCTTGTGTGCCATTTTGTGCGACAAATCCTTACGGCTCTTACTCGCCACTGCCAAACATGCCAAGGTACCGTCTTACGAAACATTGGCCGAAGCTGCCTTTGGCAAGGGTGGATTTCTCTTTATTACCATCAACATGTTCATCATGGCGTATGGAGCCATGCTCAGTTATCTCATGATTGTCAAGGATACCTTTAGTGTCGCATTGGGAATACCACAGGATGATCTCCCGCGAAAACGGGCCGTACTCTTTGTCATTTCGTTCCTGATAATTGTCCCGCTCAGTGCTCAAAGAGTAAGAATCACACTCCCAGTGACAAAAGTCCATGTTGTACAGCATGTTTCTCACAAACCATCTTTGTTTCCCCACAGGACATGGCAGATTTGGCGAAAACATCACGAATATCCGTCTTTATTGACATTTTGCTAGTGTTGGTGGTAGCCTATAAGAGTCCTCTGGACCTGGATCGCGCCAATGTCCTCTGGCACGATCAAGACTTTATAGAGCACAACTTGTGGATTCATACCGAAACCATCTTTGTCGGATTGGGAGTGCTCAGTTTTGCCTTTGTCTGTCAACATTCTGCATTCATTATTGCCGGATCGCTCGAACGACCTACATTGGCACGATGGTCCAATGTCACCAATGCCGCCCTCGTCGTGTGTGCCGCCTTGGCATTGACCTGTGGGACTGCGGGATACTTGGGATTTCTGCAGGCTACTCAGGGAAACATTATCAACAATCTACCCATGACCGGGGATATCTTGTCCAATACAGCCAGAGGCATGTTGGGCACCACCATGTTGCTTGTGTATCCCATGGAATCCTTTGTGGCACGACACGTCTTGGTAGTACTACTGTTTGAAGGACGACGAGCCCATGAAGGAGATGATAGCAGTATCCTGGCGCGACGAGATCGTCGGGTTGCATTAACCATGGCATTGTACATTTCCGCATTGGTTCCGGCCTTGCTGTTTGAAAATTTTGGACACGTCCTGGCTGCCACGGGAGCTGTGGGTGGTTCTTGTTTGAGTTATATTGGACCCGGTGCCATTTATCTCGGCATTCATGGAGATGAGTTTCTAGATTTGATTCGAAAGGGAACCTGGTGGAATCGATGGATGATGACGAGCCACGACGACAACACTGCTGCTACAACTTCCAATCCAGCAACTGCTACAGTGGATTTGGAAACGACGGCATTGCTGCATGGCAAAGATCAGGGCAAGACATCAGCCCCGACAGTGGATCCTGGAAGTGGCCCCAACAATCTACATGACGGCAGCAACCAAGCTTCTTGGTTGGCGCAAGCGCTACAGGCCATTTCTTGGTATTTGGGTTTAATGCCTCTTTGGTGCGCAATAGCTCAATTTGGCGAAGAGACGCTGACCCAACATCGACAAGATTTGGTTCTCAAAAGTCCGCACCCGCTGCGAATCGGAGACGTCGTTCCGGATACACCCCAAGCGACACCACGATCGTCTACAAGGGGGGACGACGACGATGATGATCACCGATTCATTCGGCTTTCCTTGCAAGGGGTTGAAAACACGGCGAGGGCAAATTCCTTTCACAGCGGGGAACGAGCAGCCCCTGGCGGTAAACCGACTGCTTTGTTGGTAGAATCCTCGGGCAGTCTCATGGCACCATCCTACCAGACAAACTCATCAACGACAGCAAAAAAGCCGGCCACACCCACCCACAAGAAGACTCTTACTACGGCTCCTTCTTCTTCTTCCCCTGGAACTCCCAGTCTCAATCAACAGATAGGAGCCAAGCTGGTATCTATGCAAAAACAAAAGCAAAATCAACGACACAAAGTCAAGAGTCGAGGGTACTTGTCCTTGGAAAAGGATCCCCAAAAGTCTCCATCTACAGTCATGGACTTTTTGATTGCCATTTTCTTTGTTCTCTTTGGTGTGGTGGCCATGGTGGTTGGACTGGTGTCCATGTATATTGCAGATGGCTAAGTTCCGTGAAGCCATCAAATTAGCCTGTACTAGTATAACTAGCTGTAAAACTAGCTAGCGTGATGTATTGTGCAAGAGACTGCCATAAGCAAGAGTTGTTTTGTCAATGGTGCGGAAGGCGCATAACTCCTTTAGCTGGCTGCCTAGCTAGCAACGCGTCTGATCGAAATCCTATTAGTCGAGTTAATTAAGTAGCTTCCCAGACGTAGCTTTGCTGGGCGGCCATCCAGTGAGATGACTTGGAGACTCGACTCCACCTGTGCCTGTACCTCTTTCTGCCTGGTAGATCACAACGGAGTGCACGCACTTATTTGCCACACCCTGCCTGTTGGCCACCTGAGAGTCTCTCCAATAAAAGCAAGCAACTCTATGACAAACAACCTGGAGACTTCCACATCATCACTGGCCTCGGAGCGGAAGGGCCCCACCAATTCTACCGGTAGCCACTAGGCGTCCTTGTTTGAGCAAGCAAGCATTTAGACAAAAGCTGGCGCTAAAGTTTTATTCATAGACTCCGTCGTGACAACACACAACGGAGCTCGTGGTCAAGAGATGGACTACTGTTTGACAGGCAGCGACGTATTTGCTGCCAGGTGCCTCCTCAACCGGGGCTCGTTCCTAACTAACTAATGCTAATGTTGATTGTAGGTTTTGCCAGCAACTGCTGTTCCTCTCTTTTTCTCTCTCCCCTTTTTCCTTTGTTGTCGTATTTTCGTTTTTATATTCCTTTTTCGTTATTACGATTCTGTCTGAAAAAAGGACTTGATGTCATCATTTTTGATCCATATTTCGGGAGATGGTTGTTTGGACAAGATGAATCTCACAACCGCATTTCCCAAATCCTCGACATTAATCACTTTGAAGCAACACCAGAGGGGACATTCGTAGGGACAGCACACATTGAGTGGGATCCAAAAGGGCAGTGTCGATCCTTGCAGTTCGGGTACCGTATGTCGCACGCCACTGACACAACCCGCTTGCAAGGCAACGGCGTATCCACGCGTGTCGTGTTGTTCCGCTAAAAAATCGTCCATGACGCGTTTGCCTTCATAGTAGCCCGGGAAACTGCGCATATTGAGATTGGCATAGAGAGCCTGACTCCAGTTGGTGCGATCTCTGGAAATGACACAGAATTTGGGTTTACTACTATTCGCAGTAGTAGAGTGCTGTGGCAAGGAATAGCAGATTTGGTAGGCATGAATGTTGGCTCGTCCATTGGTGACGACCATATTGTCATTGTTCCAAAGCGTGATACAGCCAATGCAGGAGACGACACCCAAAAAGTGATTGGCGGCATTGCTGGTCCACGGGACAATGGCCCGCGCCACAGTGTCGGGAGACGACGACTGGCGCATATCTCCCGCAAGGAAATGCAATTGACCATCGTGAATGGCGCGACTCAGACTGGGATCTTTGTCATACCATTTGGGTGCCTTGCCCGTACGCGTAATGACGAGAAGCTCCAGCTTTTTCGACGTTGTTGCTGTCGTTTTGGCAGCGTGCTGTTCCAAGGCAGCCGTCAAGACCGAGGAACCCACAAAACCAGTTCCTCCAAACACCAAAAGGACATCGGAACCAGCAGAGTCAATGGGTGGACTACTACTAGTACTAGTACTATCTTCATTTCGAGCACCAGGAGCCCCGCGTCTTGTCAGTAGTGCCTGATCCATTCTCTCTCTCTCTCTCTCTATTGCCGTACGATAGTCTCTTGCTCTATAGGATCTCTATCTGATATCTGTGCTCTATTACCGGTAGCTAGCTAGCAGCGGTGGTTCCCAAGTAGTGACATCGTTGCTTCTTCTTTTGTCATTTCTTTTGAACCGCGGTTCGCGCTTCAAAGATTTTCGCGTTGGATCTTTCGCTTTGATGTGGGACTGACCGTTCCCGTGACAACATGCGCACGCTGCTTTCCATCACGGAAGTCTGATTCAAGTACAGTACGGTAAGTGATAGAGCCTTGATAGAAGTATGCATACAAGTCCAGGTGTTGGACAAGGAGATGCATCATGGATAGGTCCTGGTTTTAGTGTAGGTGTGGGACCTGGAGACAAAACCAGTGGTAGATTGAGAAAATGGTATTGGTATTGTCATGCATGGTGTGAGCCCAGCCAGTCTTGGGGCATGAGGAGAACTTCCAGGAGTACGTCCAGGGTGTTGTTCCCGGTGTACCAGTAGACCCCACGATGGAGATTGACCAGACAGCGGTTGGCTCAGCAGTAGATCCTGGAGTTGGTCCAGGTTTGGGACAAGGAGTGGGGCCTGCAGATGGACAGGCAGCCCTTGAAGGTACTGGTAAATACTCCTAGTTTGACCAATATGGAGTGCTGGCTATTCGCCCCCCTTTTCAATACCAAAAGAATGCATTTCACTTGTCAAATAGTTTCAAAGGCTCTCTCATCGGATGCTTCGGCATAGGTGCGGGATACTTGCCACCGAGGTGCCCACCCTAGAGGTCCAGAATTTTTGCCCCCGACTAGCCCACCTAGACAAGAGGTGCAGCATTTTGCCACCGAGGTGCGAGCCCTGGAGGTGCAGAATTTTGCCACCGAGGTGCGAGCCCTGGAGGTGCAGAATTTCGCCACCGAGGAGAGGTTCGGAATTTTTGCCTCCAAGGAGCGAGCCCTAGATGTGCTACTAGTAGATGAGCCATCATGAAATTCTCCCGTACATAATATGTCCTTGTTCTTGACGACCCCTGAACTCTTCCATATATGGGGGTTTAGAGCCAAGAAGTAGTACCAAGTGCTGCATATATCTGTGTACTGCTAGTCGAGTGCATGTGGCAACTTGGCCTGTTGACGCTCTTGGGAGCTTGCCCAAATTTGTAGCTTGTGCCAGGAATACTACCAATGCCTTGAGAGCAGCACTGACTGGTCTGGTCACAATCTTTTTTTTTCGTACCCATCCCTCCGAACCCGAAAGCTAATTCAGATGGATTGTTCTGATCTGTTTTGAGCCTGCGGACGTAGCTAGCTAGCTAGCTAGATAGTAGGAGCTGGCTGCAAACCATAACTCCATACCTTGTTTCACTTCTTCACTGGTCGGCACCATTCACCACTGCAACAACGATCTACTCTAGCTAGACCCCCGAAAAGAGTCTACTGGTGCTGTGTACTACTAGCTAGTGTTCGGACAGGAAATCGTTTCACAACCCGCCTCAATCTGGTGACTCGACTAAGACTTGATCCTACCGTACTATTACCGGGTACACCGTAGCAGCCACCGGCTCGGGAGAAGCCAAAGAGTCAAGTCGAGTCTTTCTGGTGCCAATTCCTCTTCCAATCATTCCTGTTGCGGTGCTACTACTAAGTATATATTATGTACATTTGGTTAGACTGCCATTGCTGCTGCTTTTAGTATGATATATGGTTAGCTAGTTAGCAATATTTACTTGAGGAGGAGGGGCATCTTATGGTTATAGCTAGCTAGCACCAGTGAGTTTGCGATTGTGCCAGTTCCTTTTGCTTGTGGAGTGAGTCAAGAGGAAGTTGTTCCTCCTTGTGCAAAGTAATGAGTGTTTCATTGCGTTCTTCGTGAAAGTAGGAGATGAGTTCGACATTCAGCTCAATGTGTCTTTGTGAGAATCCAGCTTCCTTGGCGACCAAGAGTCGTTTCTGTGTCGACAGTTGGAGTGCCTTTTTGGTTCGTCGAATGTGTTGTTGGCATCGGTACTCTTCCCAGTCGTCCACATGAATGGGCTTGTGTGTCTTGTGCTTCCAACCGATACTCAGTGACGGTCCCTGTTCGCAGGCAGGATTGTCGCCCAAGATGCGTTCGCACTCTCGAATGGTGACATTGCCAAATTTGACTCCCATTGCCTTTTTGCGAGATGGCAGAGATGTGGGTGCGGAGTGACGACGAAACTCCTTGTCTTCCGGGTTGCCGCTCTTGCGCAAGAGATCATCCAGATCCATGTTCCAGTCCAAGGGGCTTTCGCTGATGGTGTTGCGGCGGGCTTGTCGCTTGTCAGAGGCTGCTATTTCGGCGTCGATATCGACGTTCCAGTCCAGATTGAGGTTTTCAAGGCCACTCATGGTTGATGATACTTAGTTTAGAAAAGATATGTAAAGAAGTAAGTGGAGTGTGTGTGTTGTCGAGCTTGTGTCTCGAGCAAAAGTTGTGAGAAGAGCCAACAGGAAACAAAAGCACATGAGCCACGCCTTGCAATTTCACAAGACAAACCAAGTTGAAAGGCCGTGTGGCTGAGCCGAACTTTTATTCCTCAGGACCTCATGTTTAAGCGTCATCAAGACTCTTCTAGGCCAAAAACGAAGATGCTCGAAATGTGTAAGATGTCCAAGGGTATTAATCGTATTCAATGAAAGGCTCTAATGACTGTTGGTATTCTTGTAGATTTAGAGTTCATTTAGTCGGTACCTCACCTGCCTTAACAAAAGCTCGTAAGCTAGTCGCAAAGCCTTTGTAAGTGTACCAGTGTTCGTGCTAAAAATAACACAGTAGTACTGAAAAGCACAGTCACCTTTCTTTGCAGTTTCAGGAGAACATGTCCCTGAAACAAGGCTTAAATATCTTCAAGCAAGTTTAAATGTATGTCAACACAACAACTTCTCATTTAGGTGTGGTCATAGAAGGCTTTCTCCAGTCCTTTTTTAATCCAGTCACACACAGAGGGTAAAGCGCCGCATAATGAGATAAGGCCAAAGACTGTCCTTTATCTCCATTTTTAGTCGCAGCGATCCAACGATCCAACACCGTACATACTACTATTAATAGTTACTGTAGTACTGTAGTAGACAGCATGCAAAGTACCGGACACCGGTACCACTATTTCTATTTTAGCTGGACCGCCTGGACCAGCGACATAATCGGGGGGGAACCTGTCCACTTACCGTTACCGGTAACATAACGGCACCTTCAGAGCTAAGACCCAGCAAACTCAAAGAGGCCTCACATCACCCTTCAACACCTCAATGCTCAATGCCTTCAATCTGAGAGCCGACGCATCCGCTGCTTTCCTTCTGGATCAGAGCGCGAGACCATTGGACCATGGCAACCACTATGATCCCATAGGATCTCTTGTGGTAGTCAATTGTTAGTAGTAATCCAGCTGGTGACCGCTACAAGTAGCCATATACATGTACTTGTACTTGGACGAAGAATAGGCTGAACCTCGTGGTTTGGGGGGTTGACCTTTTTTACATCTAATCATCTAATCTCCTCATTGAGATAACTGTTGCCTTGTTCCATCATTATCATTGTTGCCAAGGTTCAAGTTGATGCTTGCACCATCCGAAATCCAGAGACTGATGGAATCTTCAGGCTCGAGAGCTGAAGGACTGCTGTTGCAACTGCAGATGGCGCAGCCACTTTCACTGCAAACCTTCTTGTGGGCTATTGATGTGGGTCCTCGAGATTGCTGCAACTGCAGCCACTGCCACAGCAGCCACTGCCAAGTCCCGCTCTAGCTGGTGTTGTAGGCTATTTGTTCCAGAGTCAAGGTGCAGAGGCTTCCAAAGGCAGGAACTCATCATCTTCATTCCTTCTCCGTGCACTCAGGATCTTCGCCTCTTTGCCAACAGCGCAGAAGAACACGTCATTCATGGAGGAGATCGACCGGTACCGGTATCCTGGGACCCGACTTGATCATTGACTCCGCCCTGATCGCAAGAGTCGCGTACTAAAAGCTGGGTGCGTTCGTGCATCGCTCGTGAGGAGGTCGTGCAGAATAATACTGCTCTTGGACCACTAACGACGAAGCTGGTTAGCTCCACGAGGTACAGTAGTGAGAAGCAGCTGGTAAGAGAGAGCTGGAGCAGATCTTGGTCGCCCAAAGAGACCTCTTCTATCTTGTGGAGGATTGTTGCAACTACGACTGCGCCATGCAGCCACTGCCGCAAACATGTAGCCAAGTCCCACTCCAGCTAGGCTAGCTAGCTAGTGTTGTAGGCTATTTGTTCCGGAGCCAAGGTTCCAGGCTTAGGCAGGAACTCATCTTCCTAACCTTCTCCGCCCGGGATCTCCTCCTCTTTGCCAACAATGATGCAAAAGAACACGTCATCCTGGAGCAGATCCTGGGACCCAGCCAACTTAGAATAGCTAGCTAGTACAAGAACTTGATCATCATCTCCAGATCGGCCGGTATCCCGGGACCTGGGACGGTCTGTGACCCAACTTGATCATGGGCGGACTCCACATGATGACGAGGTGAACAATGAAGACAGGAAGCTACATGAAGTAACTAGCTAGCCCAAAGAGACCTCTTCTGGCTACCGGTAGCTTTGAAAGCGACGTCAGGGGGTACCATGAGCAGGCCCACGGCATACAGCAACGGGCTATGCATAGCTACTACCTGGTACTCTCTATTCCAGCAAAATGATTGAAGTAGCAGTCAATCAATCCTTCGCCGAGCTGGAAAGTACCGTAGCTAACAATATAGCCGAGGATTGAGGCTGTGTTGCACTACATCCTGTGTTGATCATCCCACCATCTGTACGGTAGCTTTGGCCTTGGAAAACATCACACTTTCTCGGCCGGCTGACAAAATACCACAACTCAGGGTGATGCAGTTGCTGCTTTGCTTTGCCTTCCTTACGATATGAATAGTACAGTGGTAAAGTCAAAATAGTAGTAGTACTTGGCTGCAGGACTCACGGTGCCAAGCCAAGCATACCTATTCTTTGATTGGGAACTGGTAAAGAATGGACTGCTGGGCCAACGAGGCCAATACTTGTCCGTCCGATGGGGTTAGCCATTTCCAGCTTCTTGTCGTGACAGGAACCATCCAAACCAGACAGAAGATCAGACAATGCATGTCTCCTTGCTGTGAATCGTCATGATCTGCAGAGCTATGCGGCCAAATCTCCAAGTTTGTTGTATAGTACAAAGCACCAAACTGCTAACAGAATAGGCTGCTCCTTGGACGCTTGGTGAGCTCTACATGTAGAATATCTCCTAGTCCTGTTTTAAAAGGAAAGATGGTAGGATGATGGATAGTAGTTAGTTAGTAGCCCAGGCCCAGTCTAAGCTGATAAGCGCCCAAGCCTCAGGCTCACACAGAGCGAATGCAGGGTCGCAGTACAGGTCGGGTTGAGCTTCCACCGCACCATCAGCACTAGTCAGAATTTCAATGTTGATTCCAGTGAAAGGAACACCACTGTCAAGAGAATACAACAGTGTCTCATTGGATGCTGTCACTGAAAACCATCCAGAGTAAGTAAAACCATCACCATACCAATCTAAAAGAGCCAAGTTGTAGGTCGCATTGGGGAGGACCTCCAGGGTGAATGAGTATACTCTTGCACTTGAAAAGCACCGCCATCAAGGTCCTCCCAAATATCCTTCTCACTACTTACACGCTGCCAGATCCATTCCATCTCTTCTGGCCACCAGTCTGTATGGACATTCAACATGATTGCTGTTGCATTCTCATGAGCAGCCGGAAATCTGCCTGGCCAGGCAGGAAGCTCTTCCAAATAAACACAAGTAGAAACTAAGGTAGCGTTTGTGGAGCAGTCACAGGATAGCACAGGGCAAAGTTGCTCTGGCACGATCCCAGAGAAGTTGTTCCCATCAAGCCTCAGCACCACTGATTCATTGAATTCACGCGGTATTGTTCCGGTTAAGTTGTTGTCATTCAGATAGAGCTTTTCCAAAGATTCCATGGCAGCTACCTCGATTGGTATAGTGCCAGAGAACTGATTCTTGTCAAGGAGAACTTCCTATGCAACATTCAAGTACCCAATCTCACTTGGCAAAGCTCCAGTGAACATATTCACAGAGAGATGGAGTTGTTCCATGTTTGTCAACTGCCAAAGTTCCGATGGGAGTGTGCCTGAAAGGTAGCACCGATCCAACCACAGCCATTCCATTTGTGTCAGCATGCCTATCACTTGGTATTGGACCAGTGATATCATTGAAATAGAAGGTGAGGAATGTAGAGGCAGTCAGCAAGCCAAGCTCTGAAGGGAGTTCACCGGAAAGTTGATTTGCCGACAGCATCAATCTTTCCAGTCCACTCAGGTCTCCCAGCGTGGATATGATTTCGCCAGTAAAGTAATTTTCCCACAAAATCAACTCAATGAGAGAAGGAAGGAGTGCAAGCTCAGTCACAATTGGACCAGTGAGAACATTGAAATCGAGAAGCAAGGAGGTCAAAGCTGTCAAGCAGCCAAGCTCAGAAGGGAGCTCTCCTGTGAACTGATTGTGCGCCATTTCCAAGAATGTCAAACCTGTTAGGTCATGGACTGTTGGAGAAAGAAGGGCGGAAAGTGATATATTAAGATCATTCCAAGGAAACCCCAATGTTTCCAGTGAAGTCAACATTGTCATCTCAGGGGGGAAAGAAGGTGATAAGCCTGATAGCTCAAGATCTTCAAGCAGAAGGGATGTGAATCTCCCATGTTCATCACAGGGAGCTTTCCAGTTTTCACTGCCTTCCTCCACATATACACCGTTTTCGAAATATCCAACACCACTGGAGAACCAAAGGCATTCATCTACCATGTCATCCATCCACCTATCCTTCACTTGTTTTGGCCAATGCACTCCCTCAAAGGAATAGTAGAAAGTGGCTATGGCAAAGAGCTGGGTTTTCCTCCATTCTGGCAAGTAGGTGATGTTTTGATGATTGGAGAGCCAGTCCCATGCCAGCCACTGAGGTGTACCATATGCTTGGAGGCTCTCCAGTGTGAAATTTGGCAGACTCAGTCTTATGGAATCCAAGGCTCCAGTGGGTGAAGAGGATGGCACTTCAGAAGGTCCCATGGAACCACCCATTGTAGGAGCATGTGTTTGCATGTTGGAAGAATTTGCCTCTTTCTTCTGTGTCCCAGCAACAGTTCCAACGATTGCCACAGCGCCTAGCAGTATCAAAAGTGAGATAAAGCAAAAGGTCTTTTGCTGTTTCTTCCGTTGTTGATCTCTTTGCAGGATTGCTTGGAGATCGACTGGGTTTGCTGATGGTATTGCATCCTGTTCTGGATCTTCATCAACTAGGTTGGCCACTGCTAACTGTTCAGCGCGGACATTGATGTTGCGAGAATCGTCTTCTGGGGCGACATCAGTAGGGTCACCAACCAGGAGAGACAATCTTGCCGAATCCGCCCGGCGGGGGAGGGCTCCACCTGGGCCACCTGCCATGTAGGCCCCTGGCCGAGACAAGTCCTGGACTATTTCAATGTCAACGGTTTGTTGAACTTGCTCCTCTACATGTACATCCCCTGTTGTTGTCAGTTCTCTCTGCACCTCAATGTCACGGATCAAGTGTGCATCGCTTCCAAGACGACCACCATGCCTGCTGTTCCTTACTAGCTGGTCATGTTCCCGGATTTCTGCTTCCCTCTCTAAAAGATGTAGTTTATGAAAGGCGGCCAAGTCATGACGTAGTTGGTGGGGTTTCTCTTCAATTGGCTTTTGGTTTTCGCCTTGGACTGTGGTGTCAGTCTTTCCTCCCGGAACAAGCTGCATGTCCCCACCTAGTCTATGAAAGGAGGCCAAGCAAGTCATGACGTAGTTGGTGGGGTTTCTCTTCAATTGGCTTTTGGGTTTCGCCTTGGACTGTGGTGTCAGTCTTTCCTCCCGGCACAAGCTGCATGTCGTTTACAATGGCAGCCTTGATGCTGGCACTGAACTCTGCCTCTGTTTCATACTCGTCCTGCTTTGCTTCTAAGTCGGGTCGTCTAGTAAGAACCTCCTGGATGGCTGACTGTCCATTGTTGTCTTCAGGTTCAACTTGACTGGGTGTTTGATTGCCATAGTCGTCGCTCCTCGAGCAGTAGCTCGCCTTGTTTCTTCTTGCATCGTTAGCTTGCTGCAGTGCGACGGAGGTTACTGTTGTCCAAGCAAAATCCTTTAACCTTGCGGGTTGTTTCCAGTACAGTCGTACCTGGTTGTCAAGGGTCAACGAGCTACTCGTAGCTCGTACTGTGCTCCTGGTTGCTGGTGACTGCTGTTGCAAGCCCATTTACCGTCATTGTGTGTTTATAATTCAATAATTTTTGTTCGAGATCCAAGAAGTTCATTGATGTACGAAGAATAAGTATCCCTTTGCTCGTGTCCATAATTCAACCAGAATTGGTAAGAAAGAACAGGCAAGCTTGCAAACATTCTTTGAGACTGAAATGATGACAATGTCATAGTCTACATCCTCTCAGAGGGTTTGTGAAGAAGAGCCTGAAGAAGTTGCCCTTTTGTACCGTAAAGGATCCGGCGGCTGGAGACTGGAGAGCTAGCTAGCTAGAGGAGCGGTTGGGGATGATGGATTGGTTGTTTTCGCTGTTTTCGCGGTATTCGACCAGGACGCCGCGAGAAAAACGCGAGAAAAACGCGAGAAAATTACGAGATAACCGCGAAACTCGTAGGTACCACCAAAACTCGCCGGTTTTAAAACCGCGAATCTCGCGAGTTTTTCCGCGAGTTTCACCATTCCCTCCGCTCCTGGAGACTCGACTCACCGTTTCGCAAACTCTTTTAGTAAATAAATAAATAAATAAATAACTATAAAGGGGATTACGTGAAAGGAACGGTACTAGGTAACGTCTAGTAGAGGTCCCATTTCTCGGAAGAGGGAAATGGTTGAGCGAGTATTATAAGAGCATAAGAGCTATTGTCAGGCTAGCCAGTCTACTAGAGAGGTCAAAGTCAGTCAAAGTTTACATGCATACAAAGCTATTGGGCTAGTCCCAGCGATACAAAGCACCACTAAAATACCGTTGACTGGACCACTGGCACTGATGCACAATCGAGGAAACAACCGGCACCTTCCGAGCTTCTCCAGATCAAACCTACTAGCTAGAGCTAGACCTAGCTAGCAAATAATAGGCCATGAGTCAATGCCTCAATCAGAGCCGCACATCCATACATCCACACCTTTCCTTTTGGATCGGAGCGCGAGACCATGGCAACCACTCCGATCCTGTAGGATCTCTTGTGTTAGTCAATTGTTAGTAGAAATCCAGCTGGATAGCTGGAACCCACTGGTACTAGACTCTTTTGTTGGGCCCTCATCAACCGAGCAATTACACCTGCTAGGAGCTCTAGGTTTGCAGTGGCACTGGCAGTGGCTGCAGTTGCAACAACAGTCCTTCTTCAGCTGTCGAGCCTAATGAAGATGGATTCGATTTCATGCATCCTCCTCCATATCTGGATTTCGGATGGTGCGTAGCATCAACTTGAACCTTGGCAACAATGATGGAACAAGGCAATATGGAGCTCAACTACCAGGAGCTCTACCAGAAGATGAGAAAAAGCTCAAGCCTTCCATGGTTCAGCCTATTCTGCAAAGACTGCAAACCTAGAGCTCCTAGCTAGCAGGTGTAATTGGCTCCTTCCAAGCCTTCCTGTGGGCTATTGATGTCCTCCTTAGTTAGGCTAAAGGTGAGGATTGTTGCAACTGCATCCACTCAGCCAGCTCCTTCCAACTCCTACGAGTGCTCTAGTGTTGTACGCTATTTGCTTGTTCCAGAGCCAAGGTTCCCAGCGTGATCTTCATACCTTCTCGGCTTCTAAAGGATGTGCATTGCCAACAACGTGCAGAAGAAGCAACACGTCATTCATGGAGCATATCGGCCAGTATCCTGGGACCCAACTTGATCATTGACTCCACATGGATCGCAAGGGTCACGTACTGAGCAAGAGCTGGGTGCGTACGTGATAGTACTTTAGTAGTGATCAGGAGGTGCTGAATCATAAAGACGACCACCGCTACTACGACGTAGCTCGTAGCTGGCTATCTGGACAGTGTTGTAATGAGTCGAGAACAAGGAGCTGGTAAGAGAGAGCTGGAGAATCTTGGTCGCCCCAAGAGACCTCTCTATTTGGCTTTTAAAAAGCGACTTGTTGGGTGTTTCTTGGCGCATGGCTGGCCTACAGCAACTACAGCTGTAGCTAGCCAATTGTCTGCGTTGATGGGTCTTTTTCTCTTGCCTATGATGTGGGTAGCAATGTACCGCTGCCGGTATCTCTCGAGGCATGCCTGCTGTAGCTAGCTAGCAATTGGGAGCAGTAGCTAGTATAGCCCCAAGAGGAGACTTGGTTGGTGGTTGGTGTAGCGAATTTCTGGGAACTTTCTCAGACCGCAATTGCCCTGCCCTTGGCAAGCACAGAACTGGAACAATTCTCACATCGAACCAGTCGTAGCAACTGGCTGATTTCCAGACCAATGATGCAGGGACTGTTCTTGCCAGCCAAAGAGTCCGATACTAGTACTATCAAGCTAGTACGGTAGCTACCTCATTATCAGCTATGAGACACGACGGAAGTTGTACTGTACAAGGTTAAATTGTAGCTATGCTTTGTTTAAAAAAATGTAATGGAAATGTAGAACTCAAAAATGAGAAAACTTTGGAAAAAGTTGGCCGCGCAGGAAAGAGAGGGAAGCAGGAAGCAGACAATCTGGCTGGCTGGGTAGGGGAAAATTGGGATGCAAAAACAAATGGATCAAAATGCCAGACTGTCACCCCCTCAAAGACTTCGAAGGCTGAGACTGCGGCTGCTTCTGGTGCCCGTGCTTGCCTTTCCGGCCTTGGTTCCCTGCTTTTGCAAAAACTTGGCGAGACTGTCTCGTTGAGACTTGGGTAACTTGGCGGCAAAGGAATCGACTTCCAGTTCCTTGCGAGTGCGTTCACGTCGTCGGTTGTACTTGGCCATCTGCTTGACATTGTCTTCAATGTCCTTCTTGGTGTACCCACTGCGCTTGGCAATCTTCTCGCGCTTTTCGGGAGACAAGCAGAGCTTGTCGTACGTGCGTCGTTCCTTTTGACGCTTGTTTTCAAAAATCTCGACATCAATAACTGCCTTGGCTTCGTACTTCCATCCAATGCTGAGGGAAGGACCATCGTGGCAGGAAGGGTTGTCACCGAGGACGCGTTCGCATTCACGGACTTCGACCGATCCAAACGAGACGTTGCGAGACGGCAAGACCTTCTTCTTGCGACGAAGTGCGCCGAAAGAACAAGAACCCGTCATGACCATGCCATCCGAGTTGCGGCGAGTTGCCGCGGCACGTCGTGGAGTGGTATCCGGCAAGTCCGAAGTGGAGGAACGCATGCTGGGAGAAGTGGGCAGAGAATCCAAGTCGTCCAAAGTCATGTTCCAAAAGTCGTTGGTGGTAGCGTCCAATTCGGTCATGGAGCTCGAGCGATGGCTGCCGCATCCGCAGTCGTTGATCTCGTCATCGCCGTAGTGGAGGTTGCCAAGTTCACATCGCTCAGGCATGGGAGGAGGAGTGCACACTTCGTGTTGCTCGATGCAAGTCATGGTGATGGATGGGTAGATGGTCGTAGAAGACAAGAAAGGGTAGTAGTGAGTGATTTGAGGAATCCTTTTTTTGTTTGGAGCAACCAAAAATTGTGTGCACTACCTTCACTTTGGATGAACAAGAACTTTCTCACCAGAACTAGACTAACTAACTAGCTAGCTTGCTGGCTACGGTAGCTACTAGCTAGTAGCTGGTAATCCATAGTAGTAGTCAGATCCAGCACACCACTCAGCGGACTGCGGATCGATCTATGCTGTTCGAGGTGAGCAAAGTACCGGGAGAAAGATCGGCATTTGTGGAGATGTTAGAGAACGTTGGACGTAGTTTCGGTACCGATACAGGTACGACTGTACGATGCAGCTGGCTGCTGGCTAGCTAGCTAGCTTGTTAGATAGACTGGCCAGCCATCACACTGTACCGCACCGGTACTAGCTACTAGAGTACTGGTAGAAACAACCACTCAGCTTCTACACTGTACATCTATCTATCTACAGTTCTACAGTACGAACAGCTCCGGCTCAACTTCCCAATGGGGTATCGGCACATCGGCACAATGAATCTACTATCGGAAATCAGTTAATACTGGTACCATGGAACTTTTGGTGAAAAGGCTTGTGCCACAAGACCAGTTTGAGGCTTTTACAAGGGGTTAGGCTGGAAACTGCACTTCGTAAAAGACTCGAGATGTTTAGTCTGTCACACTTCAAGGAATTTGCGAATGGAGTAACTTCCGATCCTTTACCAGATCTTTGGATTCAAATACAATACCGCGTACTTGGTTAAATTGTTATGAAGGGAAATCGAAAGGTTCGTCGAGAGTCGAGATTGACTCCAAAATTCCAAATCGAAGCAAGTCAGGAGCTTGGACCACCCCTTGCGCAAAAAGCAACAGAACTAGCTCTAGCTAGACTAGTAGAGCTAGCCAGCCAGAGTAGACTATTGGTACCCTTTTTGACCACCATGTACCATCACAATACAAGTACCAGTACCAGTATCTCATTGCTCATATCACAGACTCTAATCGAAACGTATTCCAAATAATTCTTGATTGAATGATATCTGCTCTTTTTGGAGAACTCAGAGCTGGCTAGACTATTATCTTCGTTTTAATAATTGGACCTCGAAATGTAAAATGGCAAGGTGAGCTGCTGCATACAGCAAATGCGGGTATCAGGTGGATTATCAATTTTGCAGATTGCAACATTTATTTATGCAAAACTATCATTATTCAGTGAAAATTAAATATACATATTATGAGCTTTTTCAAAACAACGGTACTAGAACCAGTTTTCGAGCAACCACCACGAGGTCAGAGAGCTGTCAGAGACAAAAATGCTGTCCAAGAATTGAGGAAGTTTCAAATTCGGTGAAGAACTTCTGGAAGAATGTTACCGGCACAAAATTGGAAAAGAACCTGTTACAATAAGGATGAGAGGCTCTATCCCCTCACATCTTCTCAAGAGAATTAAAGTGGCTTATTGAAGTGTTCTCTTGAGTCATCTTGCGGGGAATGTTCCTACCCTTAATTACAGTAATCGTAAACCCAATAACCGATAACTACTGTAAGACTTGAAATCTAGTACTTTGTAGTACCAGGTACGGGTGGCAGCAGCACGGTACCGGTTACCAGTTACGGACGTACCAGCTCGACAGTTATACCCGGTACGCATGTTGAGTGCCGAAGAGTATCGTCCCCTCACTTCTTTTGCGAAAATCCAAAATCATGGCTGAAGGCTGAGCTGTGCACACCCGTAGCTAGCTAGTTGCTGAAGACTGACAGACTCTCTCGAATCCCAAAGCATTTTGTTCCCTGATAAATCATTTGTCTCTCAGGAGGTATGCCTAGAATGTCTCAATGCCTGCCTCGAATGCCACCATGGCTTCAAGATCTTCAACAAAAATATCAACCAGATTAGATCTATTGCATGCAGGCAGGCGATGCAGGCATTCATCAGCCAGAGACTCAGAGTCGAGTCTTTGACAAGGAAAAGAAGCTAACAGCTGGAGTAGTTCGTATTCACCTCATTGTGGCGGTCACAGAATCCGAGCATTGGGGTGCCATGGTTGTCTCAAGATCTTTGCTTTATTTCTCGCGAGCATCTGAATCGCTGCATACGTGGCTCCTGTCGTGCATACAATAGTCATAATATGCTCTCGCTCTCACCTCAGACAGAGTGCTACTCTGGTATCAAGTTGACCCACTATTATAGCTCTCGGCTCGGTCCGTGGCCGCCTCCCGTTCCCGGCTTCGTCTCGACCGCATCGTGCAGTCTGGACGTGAATTATGTTGCATAGCGCACGCGATCGCCAACGTTAGATGCCATGCATCAGCCGTGTGGGCGTAAAGCTGCAGCTAAGTGGGATCTATGAATAGCGTCGATCCGATATCACACTGCACGCGGCTGATGCGCCGCGCCGGCCATCGAGCGTCATACTCACTGTTTGGCCACCCTGGCTGAACCCGGGTGAATTCCACACGGATTCCATTCCGCCTACATACACTCCTTATAGTATACATATATGTTCGACGATCGTCCATCAGTAGGGCTCACATACCGAAGAAGCTAGATAGCTAAGATCACAACCATAAAAAACGGACCACTATGCATACTCGTGAATTGCAGTCTTGTAGTGGCGTGCGATGTTGTGCTCTCCATCACGTATGAGAATGCACCATCACAAAGGCACCGTTAAGATCTGAGGCTGTGCCCAACCTGTATGATTATTATGACTTATTTGCATGATCTAATAGGCCACGTTCTCTATCTGATATCGTGAGGGAAGTGAAATTAGGCTCAAAACAAGTCGAATGCGATACGGTCCGGATGGTACCTGACCCCTGGTATGTATATACTGAAATAGTGCGCTGTGGTTGTTCTCCTCCAAGATGGGTCTCGTGTGGCAATATTTCGTAAAAACGGGGAATGTCCTGATATAAGTGCGAGAATGGGTACAGTTGTCTGAGTGTGAAAACGTGGAAGAGCTGACACCTCGTGGATGAGCTTATGGTGATTATTCACTCTGCCTTCTCTTCCTGTTCTCAGAAATATATTCTTGAAGCTGTTCAGAGACTAATCTCAGCGCTCTTCTGACCCTGATAGATGGAAGACTAAATTCCGCTATGACTCAAACTGGACCGACATCTAGGGCGGTGTTCCTGATGATCTTATTTATTACGGTGTCCGAGGCGGCCAACAACTCTCCGGTATACTCAACGATTAGTTTCTCCAATGATATATACTGGCTCATAATATCAACGGTTTCGTACTACTTCTTGGGACCTGGCGTCTGCGCCGCACATCAAGTCACGAGAGAAGCTCCACGACTTCTAGAAACGTGCTTCCCGGTCTGCGTTCGAGCGAGGCTCTTGACTTCTCCTCTGTGGTTCTTCTCGGAGTTCAAGCCTTTGTGGTGCGACTGGGTGTGCCAGTTGTGTACGTAGACGTAGTCTCACTTCCTTCCTTCTCTCATGAGTTGATTGTGTCGATGGGTATAAAAGTTACACTTTATGTAGTGGCGAGAATACAGTATACTGACGCTCTGGGAGACCTTAGTAATCGATGCCGCTGAGATTAAGGAGATGAGAGATGCGCTTAGACTAACGTCAAATCAACTTTCTCAAGTGCTGGAACTCCTCCCTCCTCGAGAGTACGTTGGCTTGCTGTGACTGCCTCTAACAGATATAACCTCACCCCTTCGATACTCCGCTCTTCTTAATGGATGATCCCTACTGTGTGGCGACCAGTCACAATGCTAGACTCGGCATTCTGCACACATAATAGTGAAATGCTGGTGTGTTGATCCGGTGCACCTTTCTCAGGCACAACTCTCCATCCGAACTGAACATTGACACGATGACAAACAGGAACAGAGCGTGCGCATCTGCCAATCTGTTGTCAATCATGTCCTGACAGCTTGCAAGATGAGATTGGCGTGGTACTCTGGATATGTAGAACATTAGGAAGCTTCAATGCCTTTGACGTTAAGATCAGTCTCCTGGCTCAACTCTACCCAGTCAGAGGATAGGCTTGCCATGGAAATCTGGTTCGCAGAAACAGAGGCACGGTCATGCTCGTATGAGTAGAACAGATACCACGTTGTATACCTTCGGAAACAGAATGACTCTCGCGTGAATGTTCCGATGAGGATCGTGGTGCTGAGGCTTGATGGGAACAACTTCTCTGGGATCGTGCCAGAGCAACTTTGCCCTGTGCTATCCTGTGACTGCACTACAAACGCTACCTTAGTTTCACTTGTGTTTATTTGGAAGAGCTTCCTGCCTGGCCGGGCAGATTTCCGGCTGCTCATGAGGGAATGCAAACCGCAATCATGGTTGAATGTCCTACAGACTGGTGGCAGAAAGAGATGGAATGGACTGGCAGCGTGTAAGTGTAAAGGATGATTTGGGAGGACCTTGATGGGGTGTTTTTCAAGTGCAAGAGATATACTCATTCACCCTGGAGGTCCTCCCCAATGCGACCTACAACTTGGCTCTTTTAGATTGGTATTGTGATGGTTTTACTTACTCTGGATGGTTTTCAGTGACAGCACCAAATGAGACAGTGTTGTATTCTCTTGACAGTGGTGTTCCTTTCACTGGAATCAACATTGAAATTCTGACTAGTGCTGATGGTGCGGTGGAAGCTCAACCCGACCTGTACTGCGACCCTGCATTCGACTCTGTGTGCTCAGCCATGAAAGCCTGTGCGTTGGGCGTCTTATACAGCATTAGACTGGAGCCCTGTCGCTATAAGCTAGACTACTTATCCTCATCACCTACCTATCTTTCCATTTTAAAACAGACTAGGGAGATATCACATCTAACATGTAGAGGCTCACCAAGCTGTTGCCTAAGGGCAGCCGATATAAGACGTGTTAGCAGTTTGAGGTGCATTTGTACTATACAACAAGACGTTGGAGATTTGGATCTCTGCATAGCGCTGCTGAGATCATGTACGTGATTCAACCCAGGCAAGGAGACAGGCAGTGTCTGATCTTCTGTCTTGCGTTTGGTGATGGTTCCGATGTCAGCGACAAAGAAGTCTGGAACACTGGCTAAACCCGCATCGGGACGGACAAAGTATGTGCCGTCGTTGGCCCAGCAGTCCATTCTTTACCAGTTCCCAAGTCAAAGAATAGGTATTGCTTGGCTTGGGCACGC